TTTAAAGCAAACATTCTGACTAATCTCGGCATATACAGTATCATTTAAATTCTTTACAGAATGCTTTTTGGAATGCTTTTTTTTTTGCAACAAATAATTGTTAGCGTATAACAATGGATATTGGAATTTGTTTTTTTCATTATCAGATTAAGAAAACAATTTTTTGTTATCGTTTACTTTTAGGGGATTTGCTTTAACTGATTGATGAAAATGGGTGTCCTAAATGTTTGTTAAGTTTTTATTAGTTAATTTTCGATAATTTTTTGAATTTTTAAAAATTTGATATATTTATGTATTTTAGAGCAATTATCCAGTAATTATGTGGCGTAATAAAAATCAAAATAATGTTAAGATCAGTTAATTTTTGCTTTTGACCTCCAACTGATTGGTGGTTAATTCAGTAAAACCGTTTAAGATATCAGTTTTAGATGGTTATCAAAATACGATCTGATAAAATTTGTTGTTGCAATTTCTTTCTTATTTGATCATCTAACAGTTGTAAGTTTTCAAATCTGAATTCAGAAAATACTGTTACAGTTTTGTCTGTGTTGCTGTACGAAACGACAAAAAAGGAATGTTTGAATGAAACAGTTTACATTAGCTTACCACATTCCATTATTATTAATATCACTATCGCTGTTATCATTATTGGTATTAGTATTAATATTAATATTTGTATTAGTCTTATTATAATTGGTATTAGTAGTAATGGTGACAGTAGTAGTACCAATATTAATATTAGTATAACTTTATTTGGAGTATCATTTCAAAAACTTAAATTTTATGTGCTTTTTTTTTACAGTTAGAATACAAAAGAACAGAATAGTATTCTAAACAAAGGAATTATATATAAAGACTTAATTGCTGAAAATTCTATTAAAAATTAAATAAAGAAGAAAAAAGGAAAAACCTGTCAACACCGAAAAAAAGAAATGGTTGGCATATTCAGTTGATAAAGCTGTTCCGTTTTTTTTTTTTTTTCTGTCAAAATTTTAGACGGTATTTGTCATAAGTTAGGCATATTTTTATTTTTCTTATACTCTTTTTTTTTTTTACTTTTTGGCATTATAACAGTTTTAGTGCCTTACGCATAAAGTTCACATTATGACAGCTAACTAGGTAAATATGTATTTGTACCAGATACAGTCTAAATCTACTTTGACAATTTTGGAAAAAAAAGCTTCTAAGCCATCTTCTCTTTTCTGTTTATTTGATTTTTTCACTGCTTCTTGTTTGCTATACCTTTTTCACTTTATAGCAACTGCTTTCGTTCATCTAACATCTGGTAGACGGGTATTTTCAAGCTTGAAACTTTCTACTAGACTAAAACGTTCAGTAATGGTTATCGGTTAATAAGTTTGCTTGTTCGCAACTATAATCGTGACTTGGTTGTCTACGAAAAATGATGTATCAACTGCAATTTGATGAATCACCAAAAAAAAACATCAATGACGACAGCAGCAGTGAGTGAAAAAAAAAATTTTTTTCTAATTGGCCACCAGGTAGTATTTTTTCTACGCTAAAAAGTTTTTCAATTTCATCAACTAGATTTAGGTCTTTTTAAACTTATTGTCAACTATAATAGCGTCTCTAAGATTCTAATATTTTATTTCACCAGGGAACAACTGAATGCAGAAAAAATGATTTGGTTTTTGCTATGCAAATATATAATTTTTAATAAAGGGGTTCTTTTTTCTTTTTTTCTGCGTAAACTTTCTTATTTCGTGATAAAATTGATGTGATGCAAATAAAAATTTTGTCTTTATACTATTAAATAATATTCTTTATTGGGAAAATGAAATAATAATTTTTTTTTTTTAACACTTATCAGTCAATTTACAGCTGTTTTAATAATGATTTTTAGATCACAATTTAATGGATTCTCAGAAGACTAACAAGGAACTTTTGTTTGGTTGTAAAATTTACAAAAACAATTGTTCAGAATCCTTTAGTGTAAGGACGATGTACTTAGTCAGAATGCTGTGGCATAGTAAAGACCTTTTGAAACAGCTAAGTGTCTATGTAAATCATTAGTATTTTGATATATGCATATGCGTGTGCATATTTGTTGTATGAGTGTGTGTGTGTGTGTTTGTGCCTTAGAAATTATCTGTTTTCTGCTTACAGAGTATTTATATCATCGTTCTCACTATGGTGCTTTCAGAGTGCCAATAAACTTTATTTATTTTCTGTTTGTCGTCCTATTTTAAACATCTTTAAAAATCTGTTAACTGTTACAAAAGGAATGCATCACTAAAAAATTGATTTTATTTTATCAGACAATTTGTCGACAAAAAAAACAGAAAAGGCTATCAGGAAATAAGACTGTAATTTTGCAATGACTGAAAGATGAGGATAAAAGAGGAAGAATAAAATTATGGAATAATTTTAAAACATAAAATTTATTAACGTTTATTGCTTATAATACATACAAAAAGAAGTGTTTCAGGATCAATTATTCAATTATGAACACTGTTGTCAACTTTTATGATTCTGTAAACTGACTGGTGTTCTGAAAACAACTTAATTAATTCATCATTACTTCAAACATCTTTTATATTTCCTTTATCAAATGACTCTCATTTAAAATCATATTTTTCTCATTTGGTAAACTTTTTTAAATGTATTCTTTATTCTGAATGATTAGTAGCTACATAATTGGCATTCTGTAAATATGCAAAAAAAAAAAAAAAAAAA